GGGTATGCCGATAGCATAAAAAATGAGATGTGATAGAGCAAATCTGAGATCAGATTTGGAATCAGCACCCTGAAATTAGTCTAAAACAGCTGCAAAAGTCCAGGCCAGAAAAAAATGTTTTTTTTTGTTGACCAGTGTTATTATTGACTCAGTTTGGGCGGGTGGGGGGGGGAGTCTCACCTTATTTATGTATTTGTATGTTCAGTGACTTGCTTTCTTCTTCTTGGTTCTTTCGCTAAAGTCACGTAGAAGGGAAGTAATAAAATAATAAAATAATAAAAATAAAACATAATAAAATCAAATAATTCTCACGACGTTTCGGCTACAACGCAAGCAGCCGTCTTCAGGTGGAGACGGCTGCTTGCGTTGTAGGGAAATGCGTAGGAAGTGGGCGGGGGGTTTCATTTTATTATGTTTTATTTTTATTATTTTATTACTTCCCTTCTACGTGACTTTACCGAACGAACCAAGAAGATGAATCCCTGCAGTCACGAAAGCTTTAAATCGTAATTTGACTTGCTTTCCTTTTCTCTATTTCGCACTCCTGTCGTTTGTACTGTTTGTTATCGGAGCTTGCTGACTCGTCTCTAACTGGACATCGGTAGACAAAAAACAGCTTCATAGCGCATCGGATTCCTCCTCTAGTGGAAAGAAAGATTCTGCTTCCGATTCTTTGCCGCAGGATCGTGGCACCGATTGATCGACTGCAACGACAATGACAGCAACAACAAAAATAACGTCGTCCGCGACAACTTTAGCCGGGCAGGCGGCGACTGTCGTGGAATCGCCGTGCAGGGCGCGTCGGACACACCGCTGAGCGCCGAAGCCTCGCTCCGAGGTTTAAGCGCTTCAGCGGTTGCTGATGCAAGTGCAAACAAGTTGGTGGTCATGGCTACAGGATGTAAATATTATTTGCTTCTTTCGGTAAAGCCACGTCGAGAGAAAAAGAATAATAATAAAAAAGAAAGTGAATACAAAATAAATACAAATAAACCGCTGTAAATTCATCCGTGCTCCGGGCTCGCTGGCAAGGCAACTCCCGGCGCGCCGTGTTCTCCGAGCAGCGTCGCGACTGACCGCGTGTGGACGGGAAGCGTGCAGTTGAGCGGCCCAGATTCCTACGGTTGGTAGCGGCAATTGACGCAAATCGACGCGACCTCTCGTTGACTTCCGACGCTGATATCACGAACGCGGCGGGCCGTCGCTTAACACGCCGCGGTGGCGTTCGCGCCGCGCACCGTTTTCACGCGAAATTCGTGCTCACCATCGCTCCCCCCCTCCGCCCCTCGTTATTAATGAGCGCTCGACGGCAAACGACTTTCTCGAGCTGTGGGGCTGAGCGGCGCGGGAATTCTGGGTACACGCGCGGAGTGACGCGGTACGCGGCGGCGTACCCTCATCTCGATTCTTTGTTCTGCGACGTCAAGGCCGCCGGCTGATTTTTTTTATCGTGCACACGGGATTGAAATTGACATTATTTATTCATGCGTTGTCCTCTAGCGCGCGACGCATCTAGCTCGTTAACTCCTCCCCTCTTCCTAGACGGTGGAGTTGGACGGGAGAAAAAATGCCCCCGAAGAGGGCTTCTTCGAGAGCACCTTCCCGCGATGCCACGCGAAGCGCACCTGACGGTGGCCCGTGCTGTCTTCGCCGTGTACGGCAGCGGTTGCCGGTCGCGGGCGTTCCTACGTCGGCGCGCCGGGATCACTCGCGGCCGCCTCGTCCCGTTTGGCGGAGAGAGTAAAGCTCGCTCCGCGTCCCGGCGACTCCAGCGAGGGCACTGGCGGAACTCGGTCTTGGGGATGCGTCGACGGGCACTTGAAAATATCTGCCGCTGGAATCCTCGTGAGATTACATGTGTAGTAGCTACTACTACATGTAGTAGTAGCTACTACACATGTAGTAGTAGCTACTTTTGCTACTACGATAATCCGGCACTGCCGCTGCCAGGAGGGCTGTCATGAGTGTTGATGGTCAGCGCAGCGGAAACTTGCGATTCTAGAGGTCGCCGGTTAGAGTCTAGTAGTAGCAGGTACTACTACTAGTAGTAGCTACTACTACATGTGTAGTACTAAATGCTTTCAAGCTATTAATTCCGGTTCAGTGATTCTGCACTTGCTCTATTACTATAGTACTATACCGCCTTGGACTTTTATGAACGACTGGGTGTTTAAGGTTAGCGATCTGTCGTATTATCTGGCTGTATAGCAAATGAAAACATACAATTACTTTACTATGCAAGTAAAAAATGTGTGTTTTAATATTTACGTGTTTTTTTTTATTTAGGGCCCCTTTATAAGATCATATGCTCCAGGCCCCGCACTTCGCTTATCTTGGCGCTGGGCGGCGGGAGGTGTAAGCAAGGCACTTGCAGGGCTTGCCCCACTTGACCCACGTGTCCGCTTTCTTGCGCAACAGTCGGCGACAAAACTGCGCGAGCTGTGGGGGTGTTTTGGGGGTGGTGGCGTCGGGGGGGGGGGGGGGCAGCCTTTGTCGTTGGTGAACAAAAAAGCACCGGTCAGGCCTAAGAGTCGGAGCGGTGGTACGGGATGACGATGATTTGTGAGCTGGCATTGGAGGCAAGCTTGTAACGATTCACTTGACACCCCACTCCCAAAGAAGACAAAGATCCCCCATATAGCCTGTGACAGACTGTTGGGGCAAGTGCTGTTCGCGAGCACCGTTTGAAGGCCCGACACGGCACACGAGGGGGGTGGGTCAGCACCACGCCCGACCGCCTTTGTCTCCCCGGTGTCCATGTTTACACACCCGCACCAGTTACTCATTCGAGGCTGAGTGGACCTAGGGGAGGCCCAGGACCGGTTCAGATAACCGCCACTGACGTTGGCCGTGAGCGGGAATGGAACCCCGCGTCGCCGGATTCGTCGCGCAGCGTAGCGCCAACCACCGCACCTTCCACCTGCACCCCCCTTACCTGCACCCCCACCCCCTGCGTCGCTTCGTGCTCACCTCTCAACGCCACGATGTGTTGCCTTGTGGCTTGTCACGATTGGGTTGGGTGGGTGGTCGTGCAATTCGATGCGGACGATCGTTTCTTTCTTTTTAGCCTCGTTTTTCTTTTTTTTTGGCCGTCTCGTTCGTATTGTTTCCTCCCCTGGTTCGTTCCCACCTCGTTTGTTTTGCCCTCGTTTAATGGGTGCGGGGGGGGGGCCGGGGGGGGTGAATGCAAATCGGCGGTGACCACGCGCCGATTTGGTGCCGTGTGTCGCGACTGTCTGGCAATCGGCCTTCATCTCCGAATCCATTGATCGGTGATTCCTACATACAAAAAAAATGTGTTGCCCTATAAAAACGAACCATTCTCCAACACATTATTTCCTGTCTTGTAAATGTTCCGCACCCATACCGTTAGACGACACCTCGTTTGTTGATATCCCTCCCTCAGGACCCTGCTGCTGTATTCCGTTCTCTTTGCAATGTCGACGTTTTTGCCGTCGCTGCTGCTAATTGCCGCTGCTTGCTGCCTGCTGCTTGCTACTGCTGCCGCTGCTGCTTGCTACTGCTGCAGCGAGCTGCTGCTTGCTGCTGCTTGCTACTGCTGCCGCTGCTGCTTGCTACTGCTGCAGCTAGCTGCTTGCTACTGCTGCAGCGAGCTGCTGCTTGATGCTGCTGCTGCTGCCGCTGCTGCTTGCTACTGCTGCAGATAGCTTTTGCTGCTGTTTGTTGCTGCTGTAGCTACTGGTGCAGCTGCTGCTATTTCTGCTGCTTGCTACTGGTTGCTCCAGCTTGCTGCTGCCACTGTTGCTACTTCTGCTGCTGCTTGCTGCTGCTTGCTTGCTGCTGCTGCAGCTACTGGTGCAGCTGCTGCTATTTCTGCTGCTTGCTACTGGTTGCTCCAGCTTGCTGCTGCCACTGCTGCTACTTCTGCTGCTGCTTGCTGCTGCTACTTGCTGCTGCTTGCTTGCTGCTGCTGCAGCTACTGGTGCAGCTGCTGCTATTTCTGCTGCTTGCTACTGGTTGCTCCAGCTTGCTGCTGCCACTGCTGCTACTGCTTGCTGCTGCTTGCTGCTGCTGCTGCCAGCTACCGGTGCGGCTGCTTGCTGTGGCTCACGCAGCACCACGTAATCCCCCGTGTGAAACGGCGCTGGCCGAACGGGAACCAACGCCACTCGTGTCAACGTCGCATAAATTGAACTCGGACTTACTCGCTCGCTCGCTTATAAACATTGACGGTGGAGGGATGGGGGGGGGGCGCTTATTTGGCAACGCCTCGAGGCGCCAATCGCCGAGATTTTACGTCGACTGAATAACGAGCGCATTGGGTGGGGGGTGTGTGTGTGGGGGGGGGGTTGAGAGAGAGAGAGAGAGACCCCCCTCCCCCGTTCGGTTTCCGCGCAGGATCCTGGCACCGCCGTTCCCGCGTCCACGGGCGGCAGCAGCAGCAGCTGACGAGTTATTTTGAGCTTCCGTGCGCACACAAGCAGCACAGCGCGCACGCACGCACACACGCGCACGCACGCGCGTGCGTCGGCGGATGATGGCTTGCGTGAGTCATCCCAATCAGGGGCTCCTTAGTCGTTTTTTCCCCTTTCGTATCACCAACCGCCTACTTTGAAGTGCGCGGCATCCACCCACGCGCCTCCGCTGCACAATTAGGGCTCGCGGCGAGGAGCGCCTGCCGGGCAGCCGCGACTTCGCCATCGGCCGCCTTCCCTCTCCTCCTTCTCCGCTCGCCTCTCTTGGTTTTTTTCCACTCGCTCTATTTTTCGTTGTTTTTATTATTGACGCCGCGCGGGCGCGCGTGCGGGCCCCCGAGGATCCTCCGCTCTCCGTCGTCGCATCTTGGAATCGAGCCGGGCGGTGTTGGGGCGGCGGGGGGAGGGGAGAGGGGTGGCGGCGTGGTTTGCCAATCGCCGGCTTAATTGGCGGCCACGGCACGCGGTTAGCGCCGGCTCAGAGGCTGCCGTCCGGCTCCTTCCCGTCCCCCCCCACGCGCTCACCGGGCCGACGCCGCCACCGCCACTGGTTTCCCGTCGCAGATCCGCCGCCGTCGCCACGCGCGTCACCGCGCCGGAACCCGGCGGACGCTCGACGGGAACGAGCGATGGAGCTCGACGGAGCCGTCCCCGAGGAGGACCCCGCCGCGGCCGTCCTCGCCGAGTGGCCGCGCAAGCGGGACGGCCGCCCCGCCGAGGACAAGGAGGAGGAGGCGCGGAGGAGGAAGGAGCAGGACGGGAGCGCGGCCGAGGCGGGCACGGCGGAGCCGCAGGTGACTTGCGGTCGACGGCGCGCTGCGGGCGGTGAAGTGAAAGTGGAAATGTTCGGTGTCGCTGCGGCTTAGCCGGTGGAGCGGGCGGCTCGCGGGTCGGAAGGTTGCGAGTTCGAATACCGCTTGGGTGCGTTTTGAGTCGGACCATCGTGTTTAGTTTGTTGTCCTTCGCCCCCCCCCCCCGCGCCTCCGATTTTAGCACGGTTGGTTACTTACGGTGCGAAGGAAGTTCAACGCACGTACACGCGTCGCCATCGTCGCCACCACGATGATCCCGCTGGGCTTGATGAAATGAGCACCGCTTCGTGGGGACGCCAACAGTGGTTGTCATGTGGGTTGACCCACCCCCTGCCATAGGAACGTGGAATTTTTTACCACTGGCTCAGGGCTGTAAGCGGCACATGAGCCTCGCTTTGAAGCCCTAATGAGAACGATATCAGTCGTTGCAAGCATTAGAATAATAACAACAACAACAACCTCTGCTTTGTAAAGCGCCTTTCATGTTGAAGTATCTCTAAGCGCTGCAACGTAAAAATATATAACTGTACTCGCAAGTACAGATAAAATCTTAAGCGAAATAGAAAGCCGGCAGTAACGGCGTCGGTGACTCCTCTCGAAATCCCAATGAAATGAAGCAACTGTGCTAAAACGTGATCAACAACAACAATAATAATTGCAGAGTAATCCGATCGGACGACAAAAAATGTATTTCGATTTAAAGCTTTCGTGACTGCAGGGATTCATCTTCTTGGTTCTTTCGGTAAAGTCACGTAGAAGGGAAGTAATAAAATAATAAAAATTAAACATAATACCTGAGGACAGCTGCTTGCGTTGTGGCCGAAACGTCGTGAGAATTATCTTATTTTATTGTGTTTTATTTTTATTATTTTATTATTTTCCTTCTACGTTACTTTACCGAAAGAACCAAGAAGACAAAAATTGTGTTTATTAAATGTTACATCACGAGGAGAGGCCGGAAACGAACAAGCGAGTTCCACGATGCGTCGTCCGTGGACTGGCCGCCGCGTGACAACGCTGGACAAGCCCCCCCCCCCTCTCGAGCGAGCGCGAACTGTTTCCTCTCGAGGGATCGTCCGGGTGAAATATTTCGCTGAAACGAACGGGGCGAGAGAGGGAAACATCTTCCGTGTATCGTAGGAGCGTTTGTTGTTTTTGAAAGACGTGATTCGTTCATAATTAAGGTTTTTTTGGGGTTAGATCGCCACCACCCCGACACAGCCAACGAGTAAGGGGTTGTCACCTAAAGAGAACGTGGCCAATTCGTCACTAGTACAGCACTAGTGTGTATAGTGTATAGTGTAGTGTATTGTGTAGTGTATAGTAGTGTAGTGTATAGTAGTGTAGTGTATACTAGTGTAGTGTATATTGTAGTATATATTGTAGTGTATGGTGTAGTGTATTGTGTAGTGTATAGTAGTGTAGTGTATAGTAGTGTAGTGTATAGTTGTGTAGTGTATAGTAGTGTAGTGTATAGTAGTGTAGTGTATAGTAGTGTAGTGTATACTAGTGTAGTGTATATTGTAGTGTATATTGTAGTGTATGGTGTAGTGTATAGTGTAGTAAACTAGTACAGCACCACCGGTGGAGAGCCAAGCCACAACATTCACAATCTGAGTACAACGTTTCGCCAGTAATTACAACCAGCTTCATCAGGCGACAGCCAGATTTGTGGAGAAGTCCACCTGTTTCGTTCCTTATATAGAGGCTTAGATGTGGTGACCACGCTTCTGCGCTGTTGTGGCTTGGCTCTCCAACAACACCGGTTACTTTTATTAATTTTAATGTTTTACCTACGTGACTTTACCGAAAAAACCTAAGAATATGAATCCTTGCAGTCACGAAAGCTTCAAATCTAGAATTAGTGCTGTGCTAGTGACGGCCACGTTCTGTTTACGTGACAACTCCTTACTAGTTGGCCGTGTCGGCTGGTGGCGGGTTTCAACGACACATTTATATATTCACGCGCTCTAACCCCCCCAAAAAAACTCTTATGGATGACATTGGTCGCGAAAGCCTGCCACGCGTTAAACTCACGCGATTAATTGCCTGCTGTGCCAGTGGTGAGCGCTAACCCACGCTCGTTGTTTTGGTCACGTGAGCCAAGCCGGTGTTAGTCTGCGTGGTACTGCAATGGGTGTACCACCTGGGGCTTACCGGCTGTTGTGGGCTGGAGGCTCCAAAGATGGCAGTGCTTGTTCGGCGTCGCCCCCTTCGTACGCGTCGTGGCTCTTCTCCGTCCTCTCCGGTTTCCTGCCACGTGACGTCGATGCTCTATGTCTCTACGGTGTGTGTGCGCGCGCGCGCTTTTGGCGTGTACGGTGTTTGTGCGCGATGTGTGTATATTGATGTGGTGTGTTTGTGTTTGTGCGGTGGGGAGCTAACAGCACTTGCCCCAACAGTCCGCAAAGGCTATATGGGGGATCTGTATCTTTGTTTGGTGGGGGGAGCGGTGGTACAGCGGTTAGCGCGCTGCGCTACGAAACCGGCGACCCGAGTTCAATTCCCACTCACGGCCAACACCGGTGATAGCGATGATCGGAACCGGTCCTGGGTCTCCCCTAGGTCGACTCAGTCTCGATTGAGTACCTGGAGCGGTGTGCAATAAACATCGCCACTGGGGAGACCAAGGCGGTTGAGTGTGGTGCTGGCCAACCACCCCCTCGTGTGCCGTGTCGGCCTTTATCGGTGCTAATCGCTAACAGCACTTGCCCCAACAGTCTGTTAAGGCTAGACGGGGGATCTTTGTATATGTATGTATGACACAGTGGGGAGCACAGGTGGTGCATCTGTCACTCATCTCAGTCAGTCAACCTGTAACACCTGGGGTCCGTCCCGTGACCTCCTACCAGGAAGCGAGCTTTCCACACTCCACGCGACAGCCTTTAAGTGCACCTAGCTTGGCACCAGCACTCTGGTGTCATCACCGCCTCTTGGCGGCAGCTGCCGTCGCCGCCGCCGCCGCTGCTGCTGCTGTTGTTGTGTGTAACGACGATTGTGCGCGGCATTTATTTCAATTTGCCCCTTTGTTGCAGAATCGAAGCCAGGCGACTGGATTGGGCAGGAAAAAGTCCAAGGTGACAGCTATTTAAACCGTCGCACGTGCACTCCGAGTCAATTACCCTCGCGCTGAAAGAGAGAAGAGATATCTAAGAGTTATGTATAAGCGATATCTAAGGCCCGACCTTCGCTGAAACATCGCTGACTACGCACACTTCCTATCGTGCAAGGGCCCACAGTGTTACTGGCGAATGTGTTTCGTCTTCATTGTTCGGTGTGCTTGTGCAATTGCAGCGGCGTCGCCAAATAATCTACCGTCTTTCTAAATTATAAACTGAACATTTTTATTTTAACCAGGTAAGGGCTTCACTGAGCTATGTAGCGCTTTTTCAGAAGCCACCTGGCTGTCACGAATGATAGCTCAACTTGGTGGGCTTATCTAGTGGGAATTTATAGCAGCCAAATAACTCTAAAACGCGTGACGTTGATTCTCATTGTGGAGGGCAAAATCCACACGGCCAAAACGAGAATACGCAAACTCCAAATTTTCAGCAGGCGTCGGGGTCGAGATCGAACCCACAACCTCCTGTACACCAGATGAGGTAGTTAACATCTCCTAGCCACAGCGTCGCCCACTAATGCTCTGAATCAATTCAAGCCTCCCGTCCACCACGTGACCTCTGTGTGGCCACCCCCCCCTCTGAACCCTCTCTGCTCTCATCTATAGATCTCTGTCCCTCCATCTAAACCAGCTCAAGCCTCCCGTACACCACGTGACCTTTGCGTGTGGCCACTCGCACTTTGAACCCTCTCCCCGCCGCCCGCTGTGGAAACAGACTCCGCTCTGTGCAGCAGCAGCAGCAGCAGCAGCAGCAGCAGCGTCAATGCCCTAAAACTCCCTTTCGTCATTATTCCTGAACCTTGCGTGTTATGTTATCCTGCCTCTCCACACTCGCCACAAGACCTTGTGGAAGAGGAATATAAAATACAATTGGAATATTTCGATTTAAAGCTTTCGTGACTGCAGGGATTCATCTTCTTGGTTCTTTCGGTAAAGTCACGTAGAAGGGAAGTAATAAAATAATAAAAATAAAACATAATAAAATAAAATATTTTGTTTTATTTTTATTATTTTATTACTTCCCTTCTACGTGACTTTACCGAAAGAACCAAGAAGATACAATTGGAATAATTATTATATTGCTACGGGCATGAAATAATTGTTATTTTTTCTTTAATCCACCCCCCACCACTGCCTATCACGCAGCTTCTGCCCACCCAGCAGTCAATCAGTCAATCAAACTTCATTTCTGTAGCAATATTCGTGCAAAAAAAAATGCAAATCATAGTGCGTTACAGGCATGAACAATGCAAGTGAAATTGTAGGCAAAATAACATCACCTTGTGACAAATTTCTGGCCAAGACGTAATAAAATTGACAACGCATTAAGAACATCCTAATTAAAAGCAAGTTTTTTTTAAAAGTACGTTTTTAGATTTATTTGCAAAATGCTTAATGGTTCTGAAGCCCTCAGATCCCCTGGTAGGGCTGCTTCTCCCTCGGGTTTGGTCCCTGGCGTTTTGGACGACCAAAAGGACCGGGACCAGAGGATCTTCGGGATCGTGTTGATTATGTAAATGGGTTCACTGCAGTTAGTCAGTCAACAGGTCTCGTGCGGTGGGGTAAAGTGTGGGAACTCCACCTCTTCCGCCGTGAAATCTCCCCGTTGGGCCAACGAAACCGTCGCTCGGCAGCTGCCGCTCGTGGATGTTCCCACCGGCGACGGCAGCTGCGAGCAAAGCCATTGCTGGGGCTGCACCTTTATCTCCCCCCCCCCCACCCCGTGCGACCCCTCTGACCTCTCGTCGCAGGCGTCGGGGAAGATGAGGCTCGTGCGGAGCATGGCGGTGTGCGAGGAGTCCCCGCCGGCCTGCAGCCCCGGCGACGGACCTCACGAGAGCAGCGTAAGACGTCGTGCCCACCCCCCCATCCTCCCTGCCCCCCCCGCACTCCTCCGCCACCCCCACCCGCTCATGAGTGGCCCGCTCAGGTACCACGTGTGGAACGGGCAGGATAGCCTGGCTAAATTGACTACCTGGTGCGGCGTGTAGGAGCATAAACCACCATCGCACGAACTCCGGTCATTCCTCGCAGCAGCAGTGGCAGCGGCGGCTTCTGGCTAGCCATCGAACAAAGACGGCGGTCACCGCATCGCACATTCAGATGCGCTTCTGCGGCCGTCTGGAACGCTCTTCCTTCCGTTGTGTGGAAGCCACTGGGAGCTGTGCAACTTTTAAATCATTTAGATCGACAAACTCATTTCTTTCGAACTGCTTTTTGTGTACTCTTGGTTTTTTTCCGGTAAAGTCACGAAGGTAAAAAAAGAAAACGAATCAATTAAATCTCGACGTTTCGGAGGCAACACAAGCTTCTGTCTTCAAGGTGATACAGTAATTTTGCTGTGACGGTTCCACCTGAAGACGGAAGTTTGTGTTGCCTCCGAAACGTCGTGATTTAATTTATTTGTTTTCTTTTTTTAACCTACATGACTTTACCGGAAAAAAAAACAAGAGTATGGATCCTTGCAGTCACGAAAACTTCAAATCTAGAACTGCTTTTTGTGTGTTAGTTCGTTGTGCTTCTCCCTCGGCTCCGATTCGCACGGTTGGCTACGTACGATGCGAAAGAAGTTCAACATACATCATCAGTACTTAGGAAACAGAAGCAGATGTGCGTGGTGCTGGCCACCCACCCCCTCGTGTGCCACGCGGCCTTTGTCGGCGCTCGCTAACAGCACTTGGCCCAATAGTCTGTTAAGGCCACACGGGGGATTTTTGTCTTTGGTGATTATGGTGTCGACCTTCATGGGTGCTACTCGCTAACAGCACTTGCCCCAAAAGTCTGTTGAGGCTACACGGGGGGCGGGGGGGGGCATCTCTGTCTTTGTTATGCGCTCGCGTGCCCTTTAGGAGGAGCCTCAAGCGAGAGTCGCCAGCTCGCTGAGCGTCGAGGAGGAGGAGGAGGAGGCGACGCCCGTGAGGGAGGAGGAGGAGGCCAGCGTTGAGAATGAAAAACCGGGTTTGGATGGCAAGGCGACGAAGTTGCTCTCCCGCGGTGAGCGCTTGGCCTGAACGTTCACGGCCGGCGGGTTCCCTCGGAAAATGACAAAATAATTAAGCGGGCAATACATCTCCTTTCCCGTGTCTTTCTCTCTGCGTAGTCAAAAACAACGAAGCGATTTATGTCACAACCCATCGGCCGCACGGCCTTCTGGGAGTGCATAACTTGGGGCGTCACGGTGGCTAGGAGATGTTGAATATCTCACCTGGTATGCAGGAGGTCGTGGATTCGATCCCGACCCTGACACCTGTTGTGTCTTTGGAGTTTGCGGTTCCTCTCTCTCATCATCATCACGGTGGCGAGGAGATTTTAACTATCTCGCCTGGTATGCAGGAGGTCGTGGATTCGATCCCGACCCTGACACCTGTTGTGTCTTTGGAGATTGCGTGTCTCTCTCTCTCATCATCATCACGGTGGCGAGGAGATGTTAACTATCTCGCCTGGTATGCAGGAGGTCGTGGGTTCGATCACGACCCTGACACCTGCTGTGTATTTGGAGTTTGCTTGTCTCTCTCTCTGTGGTCGCATGGATTTTCTCCGGGTCCTCCGGTTTTTCCCTCCACATTTCGAATCGACGTCACGCGTTTAGAGTATTTGGCTGCTATACATTTCCAAATCGTTTGTGTTATAGCCAGGTCGCTTCTGAAAAAAAGATCTGTCTAGCTCAGTGGGCCTTAACTGGTAAAATAAAAAAAATTGTTTAAATCAATCGACAAGACGAGCAAACCGTGGCCTGTGGATCTTTATGAATCTACGTAACTAACGCCACTGTCTTGGCCTGTGGTCTCTTGAGTCTCTGTGTAACTCTGTGGATCTCGATGAAACTCTACATAACTGCCGCCACTGCTGACGGCCTCGTGACGGAGCTGCTTAGGCCGACGCGGCCTCCACCGACTGAAACAAAGTCTTGAGTTTTCATTCTCCTCTCCGCAGACTCGAGCCAGGACTACACGGACTCGACGGGGATCGATGTTCACGAGTTCCTGGTGAACACGCTCAAGAGCAGCCCGAGGTGAGAGCCACCGCACGACCCCCCCCCCCCCCGCCTTCCGCCGGTGCAGATGCCCCCGCACTCGAGTTACGGTGGCGCCGCGGTGGCGAAATGTTAACTGCCTCTTATTCTTTGGGTCATTCGCTAAAGCCACGTAGGTAGAAAAAGTATGAGAATATCACGACATTTCACCTGATGACGATTGTGTTGCGATCGAAACGTCGTGATATGTTTATCATTTTTTCTATCTTCGTGGCTTTACTGAAAGACCCAAAGAATATGAATTCCTGCAGTCACGAAAGAGTTAACTACCTCGCCTGGTATGCAGGAGGTCGTGGGTTCGATCCCGACCCTGACGCCTGCTGCTCTATATTTGGAGTTGACGTGTTCTCTCTCTCTCCCCATGGTCACGTGGATTTTTCTCCGGGTCCTCTGGTTTTCCCCTCCACCCTTAGAATCAATGTGCGCTTTAGATGATTTGGCTGCTGTGAATTTCCACACTGTGTCAGCCACTATGTTGCACTGCCATTTGTCGCCAGGCCACCTCTGTTAAACGAGCTGCATAGCTTAATGGGCCTTACCTGGTAAAATAACTAAAAATACTCCATACCCATACTCTTTGGTTCGTTTGGTAAAGTCACGTAGTTAGAAATAAAATTTTAAAAAATCACGATGTTTCGATTGCAACACAAGCAATCATCATCAGATGGGAAAACCACAGAAAAAAATATTTTATTGCTGTGGTAGGAATCCATACTCTTTGGTTCTTTCGGTAAAGTCACGTAGTTAAAAATAAAATCAAATAAAAACAAATCACGACGTTTCGATTACAACACAAGCAATCATCATCATCAGGTGAGAAAACCACAGCAATTTTTTTTTTCTTGCTACGTGACTTTACCGAAAGAACCAAAGAGTATGGATTCCTGGAGTCACGAAAGCTTCAAATCAAGATTGTACTCCATACCCGTTGAAGCTCACAGCTGTCACTCCATCTCTCCTCCGCCCCCAGGGACAGAATCATGTTGCTGAAGCTGGAGCAGGAGCTGATGGACTTCATTCACGACGCGACGTGAGTTCTGACACGCGGCGCGAGCAATCCGTCCGTGCGGTACTTTGCTTTTTTTTTCACCCTTTTTACAGAGCCCCACTCCGGCGACACGCAAGACCTCCGATTCGCACGGTCGGCTAGGTACGGTGCGAAAGAGGACCGTCATACACACACACACAGACCCGTGCGGAGGCAGGTGCATCTCGGCCCATTCGTACCGATTGCAGGGGGGCACTGAACTCAGGACGTGGCTTGGCTCAGCTCGTTGTATGTACGTACGTCTCTGTGTGAGTCTGTGGCTCTCTGTGTGAGTCTATGGGTCTCTGTGTGAGTCTGTGGTTCTATGTGTGAGTCTATGGGTCTCTGTGTGAGTTTATGGGTCTCTGTGTGAGTCTATGGGTCTCTGTGTGAGTCTATGGGTCTCTGTGTGAGTCTATGGGTCTCTGTGTGAGTCTATGGGTCTCTGTGTGAGTCTATGGGTCTCTGTGTGAGTCTATGGGTCTCTGTGTGAGTCTATGGGTCTCTGTGTGAGTCTATGGGTCTCTGTGTGAGTCTATGGGTCTCTGTTTGAGTATATGGGTCTCTGTGTGAGTCTGTGGGTCTCTGTGTGAGTCTGTGGGTCTCCGTGTGAGTCTATGCCTCTCTGTGTGAGTCTATTGTTATCTGTGTGAGTCTATGGTTATATGTGCGAGTCTGTGGGTCTCCGTGTGAGTCTGCGGGTTTCTGTGTGAGGCTATGGGTCTCTGTGTGAGTCTATGGGTCTCTGTGTGAGTCTATGGGTCTCTGTGTGGGTCTATGAGTCTCTGTGTGAGTCTATGTATGTATGTTAAACTTCTTTCGCACCGCACGTAACCAATCGCGCTGATCGGAGGTGCCGGGGGAAGGACAACAAAATGAACACACAAAAAGCAGTTCTAAAGAAATTGAGTTTTTTTTTAATCTAGCTTTATAAGTGCGTAGCTCCCCATGGCTTCCTAATATCGGAAGGAAAAGATATCGTTGCAGAGGTTCGCGGTTAGAATCGGGGATGTGGCCCCGGTTATTACTGCGCGGTGTATTAAAAATAACTATTTTTATCTTCATCATTAGACCTCCTTTGCCAGTCCCAAAATATAAGAATAGGGTTTTTCCCCTTTTTTCTGGCAACAAAACTGAAACTAGGAATCATGTCTGCATTAACCACAATGCTTGTGGTCAAAATGCAAACAAAAACACACACTTTGATAATATATTGGCATTGTCAATATATGGTCAAAATGCAAACAAAAACACACCAGAGACAGCTTTCTTTTGAGCCTCGTCTCAACAATTTTTTTATTTTACCAGGTAAGGTCCACTGAGCTCAGCAGCTTTTTTTCAGAAGCCACCTGGCAATCACAAATGACAGCTCAACGAAGTGGCCTATTACCTGGAAATGTATGGCCGCTAAATACTCTGTACGCTTGTTTCTAAATGTGGAGGGAAAGCCGGAGGACCCGGAGAAAAATCCACGAGACCACGGGAGGAGAGACACGCCCAACTCCAAATATACAGCAGGCGTCAAGGTCGGGAACGAACACACGACCTCCTACATATCGGGCGAGGCAGTTAACATTTTCGAGGACTCAGAGAAAAATCCACGTGGCCACGTGAAGAACACGCAAACTGCAAATATACATCAACAGGCATCAGGGTCGGGAACGGACACACGACCTCCTGCATACCAGGCGAGGCAGTTAACATCTCCTAGCCACCGTGGCGCCCTTAACCTATGGGGGCGCGCAAGAGTCGAGCCGTTTTGCGCCGCCTTTGCGGGCCAAATTTAGAAAAGTTGTGAAAAGTTGATGACACAAATGACTCAATCCCCCCCCCCACATAGCACGCATGGCCTATGAGAATAGCGCGGAGGGGTGGGGTGTGTCGACACCGTGACGTTGTCGTGTAGAGGCGTAGCGTGCGAGTGTAGACACGGAATGTTGAAGAAGACAAAAATAATAATCCCTTCAACGTGTTGTGTTTCTGCACGGGTCGACATGAACGGCGGTGGAGGGAACGCAAAAGTTGAGAGCCGGTCCCCGTCAATTATTAATGTGAATATCGGTGCCCGTATCGGATACCATGGGCCCCATGTAATCGATCAGATTCTAGAAAAGACAAGAGACTTATCACATTCCCCGATGCCTGGCCCTCGTGGCAAACTCTTCCCTGCCGGCAAGATACACAGAGACAAAGGTCCCCCGTGTAGCCTTGACAGACTGTTAGGGGCAAGTGCTGTTAGCGAGCAGCACCTATGAAGGCCGGCACGGCACGCAAGGGGGTAGCTGGCCAACACCACACCCGGCCGCCTTTGTCTCCCCAGTGGCGATGTTTACACACCACACCAGGTACTCATTTTGAGGCTGAGTCGACCTAGGGGAGGCCCAGGACCGGTTCAGATAATCGTCACCGGTGTAGGCCGTGAGCGGTAATCGAACCCGGGTTTCCAGATTCGTAGCGCAGCGCGCTAACCACTGCACTACCACACAAAGATAAAGATCCCCCATGTAGCCTTAACAGATTGTAGGGGCAAGTGCTGTTAGCGAGCACCTATGAAGGCCGCAACGGTACACGAGGGGGTGGGTGGCCAGCACCACGCCCGACCGCACTAACACACATACGCGTACATGTGAATCGGAGTCTACGCGCGAGTCATCCTAATGTAGTGGCTGAACTCGGAGACGGTAAGACTTGGAGGCACTTTTATTTAACGAGCGCCATCGGGATAACAGCACACCCTCGGTGGGCACACACCATTCCTGTCGCCAGCCTGTACACCACACGAACCGTCTAACACCGACGGCGCTGAGCGGAGACCGCCAATAACTATCGAGCAGCGCAGTGTCGAGCGCAGACGCCAGAGACGATGGCGACGATCTTGAACAGCACGAGCGACAAGATCGCTCGCTGGGGCCCCTCATATACTCCCAGCGTGGCCTCGCTCCACCCTGGTCACCAATGGCGGAGCTAGGATTTTCAGGTAGGGGGTGGCAACCCCTCCAGCAATGAGGAGTTGTTAGTAAGTAAGGACTTGTCCCTTGCTTTTTATTCGACGCGTGTGCGGCGATGGCGCGGCCATCGATCGAGGGTCGAATTCGAACCGCGTTGTGTGATCGCCATCGCGCTCGCTGAAGGTGAATGTCTTCAGGGAAGTCGTGTTGACTGTATAATGCAACTGCGCACAATTCTGTGAGTCACTTATAACCGCTTTGCTGTTACTTATTGCCAATTATGGACTCAGACTATTGTCCTATCATCTCATAGAGTCTCTGGCACGTAACAGTGGCAGTGGGGGTCGCAAAATGGCGATGTATTACTAAAAACCCCAATGATCCGATCGAAATGAGGGATTTCGATCGGATCATTGTGGGGGCACGTGCCACCCCACCCCTCTCCACTGGCTCCACCAGTGTCGGCCACGTGCCCTTCTCTGGAACCTCCTAGCGGGTTTCCGAGGCTTCCCGATGGGCCCCCCTCTGTGACCAATCCCCTAGATTGTCCCCCTCTCGCGTCGATCGTGGCCTGCTGACGTCAGTGCTGACGTACACCGCAATAGCCTTTTCCGCCAGCAGCCGGCGCTGTGCCGCTACGCTGACAAAGGGCACTTTAGTGGCAGAGGTCGCAACCGGGTACCCGATACCCGTACCCTACCCGATACCCGGCTACCCGTACCCAGCCGGGTACGGGTACGAGTACCCGTTTGCGACCCTGGTGCGGCCGGGTACAGGTATGGGTAGGCCGTGAGTCACTGGTGAGTAGCCGTTTGTCACTCATTTCGGGTAGGGTACGGGTAGGGAACGGGTACCCGTACCCGGCCGGGTACGGGTACGGGTACCCATTTGCGACCCTGGTGCGGCCGGGTACGGGTAAGGAATCAAAACCCGTTTGCGACCTCTGTTTAGCGGTCCGTTCAAATCTCAGGGCCCTTCAAAATTCAAGCCGACCGCGTCCATCACGTCACGTTGCGTGTGGTGTAGCAAGGTGCGGGTCGCACACTCGCCTCTTCCAACGCGTCCGGTCGCGTTCACTCCACTGGAGGCCCTTCCGCCGGCAGTGGCGTGAGCAAAGCAGTTGCAGGGCTGTACCTTGACCGTCGTTACCTCTTGGCGCTGGGGAAAGTCGTTTGTGACTCTGTACGAACACGTCAATCATGGTGCCCTCTCAACCTTGCTGTCCGCCCTCCCTACCCCCACCCTAACCCCACCAAACGGCCCCCCACCCTAACCCCCCACCCTAACCCCCCACCCTAACCCCCCACCCTAACCCCATCCTAACCCCACCAAACTGCCCCCCACCCTAACCCCACCACACTGCCCCCCACCCTAACCCCACCACACTGCCCCCCACCCTAACCCCACCAAACTGCCCCCCACCCTAACCCCCCACCCTGGCCACCCATCCTATCCCCCCCCACCATAACCCCCCACCCTAACCCCCCACCCTAAACCCCCACCCTAACCCCCCACCCTAACCCCCCACCCTAACTCCCCACCCTAACCCCCCACCCTAACCCCCCACCCTAACCCCCCACCCTAACCCCCCACCCTAACCCCCCACTCTATTCCCCACACTAACCCCCCCACCCTGGCCCCCACCCTAACCCCCCACCCTAACCCCCACCCTGGCCCCCACCCTAACCCCCACCCTAACCCCCCCCTAACCCTCACCCTAACCCCCCACCCTAACCCCCCACTCTATTCCCCACACTAACCCCCCCACCCTGGCCCCCACCCTAACCCCCCACCCTAACCCCCACCCTGGCCCCCACCCTAACCCTCCACCCTAACCCCCCACCCTAACCCCCCACCCTAACCCCCCACTCTAACCCCCCACCCTGCCCCCCACCCTAACCCCCATCCTAACCCCCCACCCTGGCCCCCACCTTGCCCCCCACTCTAAACCCCCGCCCTAACCCCCCCACTCTAACCCCCACCCTAACCCTCCACCCTAACCCCCCACCCTAACCCCCCACTCTAACCCCCCACTCTAACCCCCCACTCTAACCCCCCACTCTAACCCCCCACCCTGCCCCCCACCCTAACCCCCATCCTAACCCCCCACCCTGGCCCCCACCCTGCCCCCCACTCTAAACCCCCGCCCTAACCCCCCACCCTAACCCCCCACCCTAACCCCGCACCCTAACTCCCCACCCTAACCCCCCACCCTAACCCCCACCCTAACCCCCCACCCTAACCCCCCACCCTAACCCCCCACCCTAACCCCCCACTCTATTCCCCACACTAACCCCCCCACCCTGGCCCCCACCCTAACCCCCCACCCTAACCCCCACCCTGGCCCCCACCCTAACCCCCCACCCTAACCCCCCACCCTAACCCTCCACCCTAACCCCCCACCCTAACCCCCCACCCTAACCCCCCACCCTAACCCCCCACTCTAACCCCCCACTCTAACCCCCCACCCTGCCCCCCACCCTAACCCCCATCCTAACCCCCCACCCTGGCCCCCACCCTGCCCCCCACTCTAAACCCCCGCCCTAACCCCCCACTCTAACCCCCCACCCTAACCCCCCACCCTTCCGCCCATCCCACCCTAACTCACCCCCCCTCCCCCCACCCACCCAACAGCCAGTACAAGAAGTTCCCGCAGATGACGTCGTACCACCGCATGCTGGTGCACCGCGTGGCCGCGTACTTCGGCATGGACCACAACGTGGACCAGACGGGGAAGGCCGTCGTGGTCAACAAGACGCCCGGCACGCGCATGTGAGCTTGACGCGTCGTGACGCGGAGTGGAGTCGTGGCGGGTACGGTGGTGGGTGGCGGCGGCGGTGGTGGCGTTTGCTGTTTTATAATTTTTTACTGCAACTGCTTAACCTCAACTGTTTTTTCTTCTTGGTTCTTTCGGTAAAGTCACGTAGAAGGGAAATAATAAAATAATAAAAATAAAACATAATAAAACAATTCTCACGACGTTTCGGCCACAACGCAAGCAGCCGTCCTCAGGTGAAAACCAGGTCCGTCGAGGCGACAGAGTCTGAATGAAACAGCACACGAGCTTGGAGCATATATATAAGCTGGGCGCATTGACAAAGGAATTTGCATATCAAAAGGAATTTAGCATATTTATGGGAAATGCAGGAATGTAATTAGTACTGCATATGCATGTGCATTATGCAGGATTAACAGCATCAAAGGGAGCTGCAGTTACTGCTGCTGCTGCAGTTACTGCTGCTGCTGCAGTTTCTGCTGCTGCTGCAGTCACGAAAGCTTTAAATCGAAACTCAACTGTTTTTTTGGGGCTTTCGGTAAAGTCACGTAGATCGAAAAATAATAGATCACGACGTTTCGATCGCAACACGTGTCCGTGCGTGGCCGCGTCCGTGCGTCTCAGTCCGGAGCAGGCGTTTAACGAGCACTTCACGGAGGAGGGCCCCAGCGTGGAGGTCCCCAAGCGGATGGCGCCGAAGCGCGACGGAGACGGCGCGGAGCAAGAGGAGAGGCAGGTGAGCCGCCGCGGCGCAGAGGTCGCAACCGGATACCCGTACCCTACCCGATACCCGGCTACCCGTACCCGGCCGGGTACGGGTACCCGTTTGCGACCCTGGTGCGGCCAGGTACGGGTACGGGTAGGCCGTGAGTCACTGGTGAGTCACCGTTTGTCACTCATTTCCCAACGTCTTGTCTCTTCTCACAATTCAAGTTCCTAGAATCAACCCACCCGCGCCTGCAACATGGCTTCATCCCAGAGGTCGCAATCGGGTACCCGATACCTGTATCGTACTTGTACCTGGCCGGGTACGGGTAGCCGGGTATCGGGTAGGGTACGGGTACCCGTTTGCGACCCTGGTGCGACCGGGTACGGGTAAGGAATCAAAACCCGTTTGCGACCTCTGCCGTGCCGCGGGGACAGCGGTGGATAATGCCGGCAGCATCGGCGCGGCCTCCGCCCCCCGCCGCAAGCACGCTGCAAATTGTCGTCGTCGTCACGAACGTCATCATCAATCATCAAGCCACTGTTCGTCATAATCATGATCACGGCCGTGAACATCATCATCATCCATGAGCAGACGAAGGGCTTGGCTTCATTAGCCATGCTCTGTTAATTGCTAAATGAAGGCTATATCATTTTTAGCCATGGGCTAGCCACTGCTAGATAAAGGTGTTATCATGATCATCATTATTGTCATCGTCATCATCAGCCATGGAAGGCCATGATGAAGGCTGTGTCATAATCATCATCGTCATCATCACCGTCCATGGTCTCGCCACCACTGTATGAAGGGCTTATCTCCATCGGCCATGTTCTAGCCACTGCTTGATGCAGGCCGTATCATAATGTGAGCGTGGCGTGGTGTGTCCGGGTGATGTGTTGCGTTGACTCAATGCGCGCGTGTTATTTTTTTTCTTCTTCTTGGGATGTGTGTGTGTGTGTGTCGCCGCAGCAGCCCTCGGCTCCGGAATATCGTCTCGCGGAGATCAGGTGAGCCTCGCCGTCGGTCGTTTTGGAGCTTTCGTGCCGCCGGCGCCGAATCCGTGCCTCCCGTGGTCGCAGAGCCGGTGGGGGGCACGGGGGGGGGGGGGGGCACGGGGGGCACGTGAGGGGCACGGGCTAGTCGTCGCGGAGACTCTCTGGTTTCCGAGGAACGCTTTCGATCATTTGGCTGCGAGTTACGTAGAGATTCGTAGAGATCCACAGAGTTACAGAAATCCATAGAGATACAGGAGGTCGTGGGTTCGATCCTGACCCTGACGCCTGCTGTATACTTCGAGTTTGCATGTCTCTCTCTTCCTGGGGTTGTGTGGATTTTTCTCCGGGTCCTCCAGTTTTTCCCTCCACATTTAGAATTAACGTCACGTGTTTTAGAGCCAATTCGATAAATTGACGTGGCGCGATCCGCTCTGTCGGGATTGCCCACGGCAGGAAATCATCGCCCCCACCTCCCACCCCACCCACCCTCCACAACGTCCTGCGAAACTACTGCAGGCTGCGAAAATGGCACCTTTGCCGCACGTGAGCAACGATCGCCTTGCCTCGCTGTGAAAGCAAGTGTTCTCCATCGATTGCAATCGTTGCCGTTGATTCGCGCGAGCGTTGAGGGTTCGCGCTGCGAGCGACGCGGGACGTCGCCCGGCCGTTTGAAGGAGTTGCGTTCATACAAAAGGTTGGATCTTGACTACGCGAAAGAACACTCGGGGGGTTTTGCAGTCGACGTGGAGATCGGTCGGTCGGTCGGTCGGTCAGCTGAACGGGCGATCGTCGTGTCTCCCCCCCCCCCCCCGTGCCCTTTGTGCCCAGGATCCAAGAGCCGTCGCCTTTATCCAGCACGCAGAAGCGGAGGCAGATGTTCCGGTGAGCCTTGGTGTTGTCGGTCCCGTGTGTTGCCGGTCCCTTGTGTTGGCGGTCCCTTGTGTTGGCGCTCTCTCTGGCGCTCTCTCTAGCGCTCTCTCTAGCGCTCTCTCTATCCCTCTCTCTAGCGCTCTCTCTAGCGCTCTCTCTAGCGCTCTCTCTAGCGCTCTCTCTAGCGTTCTCTCTAGCGCTCTCTCTAGCGCTCTCTATCGCTCTCTAACGCTCTCTAGCTCTCTCTAACGCCGCAACGACAACGGCGCCCCCCCTTCCCCCCCACCACGGGCCTTAGGAGCCACCGAGACGGCAGCGGCGGCGGCGGCAGCAGCAGCGGCGAAGGCGGCGGACTTGGCGGCTCGGGCAGCTGGCAGAGCAGCACAGAGACGGACTGCGGCGGCGGCGGCGGCGGCACCCCGCCACGCCGCTGGGGGCCTCGGCCGTGGAGCAGCACCGACTCGGAGAGCTCGCACGCCGGGCCCGCGCCAGCCCGCCGGCCCGCCGTCGTCAAGGCCAGCAGCTTCAGCGGCATCTCGGCCGTGCTGATGCGCGGAGACAGCCACGGGGGTCTGGCCAACGCGGGTGAGAGAGGGCCCCCCCCGCGCCCCGCGCCTTGACCTCCCCTCGACCCCAATGCTTTGAATGTCCAAGTAATGGGGCACTTTTTTTGAGCTGATATTCATTTGTGGGCACTTTTGAAAAATAAGTTGATATCTCAGTGGGCTTTGCTTGGTAAGATTAAAACAAAAATAGTTCAGTTTTTTTTTCTTGGTTCTTTCGGTAAAGTCACGTAGAATGGAAATAATAAAAGAATAAAAATAAAACATAATAAAATAAGAATAAAAATAAAACATAATAAAATAAAATAATTCTCTGAGAATTATTTTATTTTATTATGTTTTATTTTTATTATTTTATTATTTCCCTTCTACGTGACTTTACCGAAAGAACCAAGAAGATGAGTTGATGGACAGCCGTTGGGCGCGACCGCATTAGCCCCTAACACCGTGGCAGCAGAGTCACGAATTCTCTCGATTCGCCCTTCCGCACCCCCCCCGCCCCCATCGCTGCTGTGCCCAGGCTCGGACTCGCCGAACAGCGTGGGGACGTCCCCCACGGCGTGCCCCGCTCGGACTCGGCACGGGCAGCAGCAGCAGCCGCAGCAGCAGCAGCAGCCGCAGCAGCAGCAGCGTAGGTCACCCGCCGCTCCCGCCGTGCCCTCGTACTCCGTCACCGCCGCAGCATCGGCAGCAGCGCAGGTCTGCCCGGCGGGCCCCAGCTACTGCCTGCTGCCACTCGAGAGCATGGGCATCCCTCCTGGGAGCATCCTCGTCAATCCGCAGACAGGTGGGCGTTGCTCGCGCTCGCTCGTGCCCGCGCTGGGTGCCGTGGGCAGCCTAGGAGATGTTAACTGCCTCGCCTGGTATGGAGGAGGTCGTGGGTTCGATCCTGACCCTGACGCCTGTTTTATATTTGGAGTTTGCATGCCTCTCTCTCTCATCATCATCACGGTGGTTAGGAGATGTTGACTACCTCGCCTGGTATACAGGAGGTCGTGGGTTTGATCCTGACCCTGTGACGCCTGTTTTATATTTGGAGTTTGCGTGTCTCTCTCATCATCATCATCACGGTGGCTAGGAGATGTTAACTACCTCGTCTGGTATACAGGAGGTCGTGGGTTTGATCCTGACCCTGTGACGCCTGCTGTATATTTGGAGAAGCATGTCTCTCTCCGTGGTTGCGTGGATTTTTTTCTGGGTCCTCCTGTTTTTCCCTCCACATTTAGAATCAACAACGTGCGTTTAGAGTGTTTGGCTGCTATAAGTTTCAACTTGATGATAAGCCACTTCGATGGTGGTCATAGTATTGGTGGGTAGTCATAGTCTAGTGGTGATGGTGGTTGTAGTATTGGTGGGTTGACGAATACATTTATGGCTGGTTTGACTGACGAAATTAACTGTTGCATGTGTGTGTGTGCGCGAGTGTGCGAGTGTGCATCGTTGGGGAGCGGTAGTGTAGCGGCTAGCACGCTGCTAACACCAGTGACGAATATCTGAACCAGTCCTGGGTCTCCTCCCCTAGGTCGACTCAGCCTAAAATGAGTACCTGGTGCGGTGTGTAGACATCACCGCTGGGGAGACAAAGGCGGCCGGGCGTGGTGTTGGCCACCGACCCCTCGTACGCCGGTGCCTGCCTTAATAGGTGCTCAATGACAGCACTTGCCCCAACAGCCTCTTAAGGCTATACGGGGTGGCTTTGTCTTCTCGGTGTTGGGCGGTCTTCGCCATTGTCGCGCTCGACTGGATTAACGCTCCCGTGTGTGTGTATGTGTGTGTGTATGTGTGTATGTGTGTGTGCGTCGCTAGTCATGTTGTGGTTAGTGCGCTGCGCTACGAACTCGGCAAACCGAGGTCGATCCCCGCTCATGGCCAACACCCAGTGACGATTATCTGAATCGGTTCAGGGCCTCCCCTAGGTCGAATCAGCCTCAAATGGGTACCTGGTATCGGCACTAGGGAGACAAAGGCGACCGGGCGTGGTGTTGGCCACCCACCCCCTCGTGTGCCGTGCCGACCTTCATTGGTGCTGCTCGCTGACAACACTTGCCCCAACCGTCTGTTACAGGCTATACGGGGGATCTTTGTCTCTTTTGTGCGTCGCTAACTTCTCGACCGCATCTCCCTCTTCCCCCCAGGCCAACCGTTCCTGAACCCCGACGGTACCCCAGCGGTTTACAATCCCCCGGCCGTGCAGCAGCAAGCCAGGGGTCAGCTGTCTGAATCGTCACAGCTGATCCTCGCCACAGCTCACCAACAACCCCTGGGCAACCACCACCACCACCACATGTCACTGGTGAGCTCATCCTATTGGATGCCACTACCATCAGCCCCTGGGCAACCACCACCACCACATGTCACTGGTGAGGTCATCCTACTGGATGCCACTACCATCAGCCCCTGGGCAACCACCACCACCACATGTCACTGGTGAGGTCATTCTACTGGATGCCATTACCATCAGCCCCTGGGCAACCACCACCACCACCACCACATGTCACTGGTGAGTCATCCTGCTAGCTGCCGCTGCGTCCGTCCTGCTGAGCGATTGGCCAGTAACACTCAACGCGTTCGTCCACAGCAGCGCCCCGAAGGGAAACGATAATAGAAAACACATTCCTGCGGAGGGAGCTGGTAGGAACGTTGGGTTGCTCGGTCAATGGCCTGCAGGGTCAACGGCGGCGTGGTGTATTCCGCAAATATGGCCGACTATGAGGGCGGGCACAAGCCGGCGTGAGTAGGTTAAACGTTGAGTTTTATAAGGGCACCACGGGGTGACCAGCCCCTCCCCACCCAGCCCCACCCCTCCCACCCCCCACCCAGCCGCACCATCCCCACCCAGCCCCTCCCCACCCTCACCACCCAGCCCCTCCACACCCTCCCCTCCCCACCCAGCCGCATTCTCCCCACCCAGCCCCTTCCCACCCTCCCCTCCCCACCCAGCCCCTCCCTGCAGGACGGACGGACGGACACAATAATCCCCTGTGGGCTGGTGGAACCAGGAGGTTGTGTAACCAGGAGGTTCCTACCAGTAATAAATCGACACACTAAGCAACTTTTTCGGCGCCATGGCCTTTCTTAATAGGAGACGAGAACAACTCTGGGCTGTAAAGAATCGGAGGGCACGTCTGAGCGTTACCGCGCCTTGAGGTGCAATTTTTCATGAACGGCGACGCCCTGCGGAACGTTTTCATCGTCGCAGTCAGATTCGTGATGACTGTTGCTCGTTGATTAACTCTAAGTGTGTCTGCCTCGCAGAGTCACGGGCAAGCGTCTTCTCCAACGTCGGCTCAGCACCCTTACTCTCAGCACGTGGTGTCCTTCTCCCCTCCGCAGCAGTACAGCGTGGTACGACACGACACGCTCGCACGCTCACGTTGCAACGCAGACAAAGGTCCCCCGCACAGCCTCGACGGGCTGTCGGGGCAAGTTCCGTTCGCACCAATTGGGGGTTATTTGGCAGTACTTCTCCACGCGCGTGTTGGCGATGGTGCTGAATGTTTAGATGCGCGTGGAAGCACAGAAGTGCAGTCCAACAATGGATTTTGATGCCTTGGCCTCTGCCGGTGCTGACGTTATTAACGTTCCTGACGGTGTGCGTGATGTTAGTGTTGTTCTTGTCCATTCCTAATTATCACCGGTTACAGTTCACTGAGAAGCGGCGCTGACCAACTCGTGAGATTTCTCGTAGCCACTTTACGAGCCGTAACTGCCTTGCTTACTCGGAGTTACGATGAAACTTATTGTAAACCGAACTTACGAAAAAAAAGTACTATTTTCGTTTTACCAGGTAAGGCCCACTGAGCTGTCTAGGTCTTTTTCAGAACTGAGCTGGCTATCACAAATGATAGCCCAACTAATTGGCTTACAATCGCGTGGAAATGTATTGCAGCCAAATACTCTAAACGCGTGACCACGGTGAGAACACGCAAACTCTAAACATACAAGCATTGTTTGGGTCGGGATCGAACCCACGACCTCCTGTATACCAGGCGAGGTAGTTAACATCTTGGCTCCGTGGCACCGCTGCGATGTACTATTGTGCCGTACGCATATACGCTGGAACGAGTCGTTAAATCGATCGCTCTGCTTCAATTAGGACGAACTGGGCCTGCACTTTGGCCACGTCGCCCTGAGCCACCACTCTGCTGCCGGCGAAATCCCAGAGTCCACGGCTGCCCCCTACCCGCCTCCCATAATGCACCAGCAGCAGCAGCAGCACCCGACGGGCTACGGAGCGTCGCCGTCCGCAGGGCCGCCCATGACCCCCAACGGCTACGGCGGCGCCGGGTCGTCCTACCCGGCCGTGGCGCAACCGCAGGTGTACACGCTGCAGCAGCACCAGCAGCACCAGCAGCAGCACCAGCAGCAGCAGCACCAGCAGCAGCACCAGCAGCAGCACCAGCAGCAGCAGCAGGTGAGGGCCTCGCGCCTTCCGGAGAGAGAGCCCCCGGCGGGCGCGGCTCAGGAACGCCGCCTCTCGTTTTGCAGACACGCGCCTACCGCCGGCTGTGTGACGAAAGCCCTCGACTCCTCGTAGCGGCTTTTTGACGGGCAACGCTACGGGGCACCCAGACGAAGGCAGGAGAGACGGCAAGTTGACCCGTTACGATGACGTGCGTGCGTGCGTCATCGGCTTTTCTTCCAATTCCGTTCCGATGACGGACGTAGGTGTACACGGTGAAGACAAAACCGTAAAATTAACCCGTAAAAACAAAGTTTTTCACTATAAATCCTTTATATGCGTGGCGGCTAGAGTCCTCTCGTCCTCTGGCTTGAGATGGCTGCCACCTATGGGTCAGATGATTGCCTGCCACCATTAAGCAATTGGTAATTAAATATAATTAAATTTTTTCCTAAAAAGTGTAAAATTTTGGAAAAAAAATTTCACGAAAATAATTTGTCACGCACAACGAGTCTGTGTGCAAAGTGTCAGCTCGATTGGATCACGGGAAGTGGGTTAAAAAACGACCGAAAGATTTTCACGGTCGTAAGCGCGCAAGCAAGCAAGCAAGTGAACTTAATATAAAGGATAAAAAAAATCAAGTAACTTTATCGGTACCACAAGGCTCCCACAAGGCCATGCGGCAGAGGCGTGTGGTACGGTGTTGGCGCCGGCTATCGTGGAGTGCGGCGGTGAGCACCAACGTTTTTAAAAAAACGACGGCGCTGCGGCTACGCGCCGCTAAATAAAATTAACGGCGAACCGCTCGCGCTTTCCGAGATTCAGCGGCGAGGCGGCACACCACCTACCCTGCGACTTGCAGACGTCTCGGAACGGGAAAGGGTTAGCAAGCTGAAACAATTGGAGGCAATTGCGAAATTGGCGAGTGAGTGCAGGGTGCTTCAAAAAAATGTTAACACTCATATGAGGCTATAGTGTGTAATGGAAAAAAGGCCTAATACACTGTAACATGATAACAAATGTAATGTTCATAGCTTCAAAAAGTCTTCCACTTGTTCACCAGCGTTGTCAACACATTGCCTGGAATCTTCTCCAGGTGGTCTCCAGAGCCTGAAGTCACATTTCTTGTGGTATCGTTGCAATTTCTCAGAAGTGTTGACATTTTTTTTGAAGCACCCCCTGTATCACGGACAGAGCCGAATGGAAGTGAGGCCGTGATCGTTGACGTCTTTCAGAGAGAGAGAGAGACAGCTCATTTGAGAGTAACCATGAAAGTGTGGAAAGGTTCCAGGGAAATCAAGGCGTGAGGGGTTTAGCCTTCATAGTCCATGCCCTGTTGCTAACGGTGTTGGGGCGGGGGGCGTTTTGCGTTGTACACGTGACAAATCTGTTCACATTTTTATCACGCGTGGGCTCTGCTTGCCGCGGTGACGGCGGTCTCCAGTCAAAGAGACGGGGAGGGACCTTGTCGCACCTCCAATCAGCACGGTCGGCTACGTACGGTGCGAAAGAAGTTCAGCAGCAGCGACGACGACGATAATGACGCGCGTATGTTACGTGTCGTCCCAACGGGCACGTGGCCCCGTCTTCATGAAAGCAAACGGCGGCTTTGCCACCATCGCTCGCGTCGCGGACGGGGGGAGCGCGCTAACGCCGCCGCTCGCTGCCGTTGCAGATTCCTGTCTTCGTCTACGCCCCGGGGCAGCTCGGCCTCGTGGGGCAGCAGTCGTGCCGCCCCGCGACCCCCACGCAGTACGGAGGGCAGCGCGGGCAGCACGGGCAGCATCCGTCGCAGACACACGGTCTGGCGAGATACCCCCGCCGCGCGCACGCTTCCACACGTCCGCACAACGCGAACTCCGGCGGTCATCCTCGCAGCAGCAGCTGCTGCAGCTGCAGCAGCGGCTGCTTTTAGGGGACAGAGACGCTCTCAGATGCACCTTCTTGCGGCCGTCTGAAAGGAATGGAGGGGGAGGTTAAGGACAGGGGGGGGGGGGGGCTGCAATGATGACAGTTGTTTACACAAAAAAGCTTTACCTCGTTTTGGAGGGGAGGACAACAAGTTTGCGCTTTCCAGTTACATACTTTGCGAGTAACTTTTCAAACTTTGGCAAGTGTGGACCGTGACGTCGGCACACGTGGCCTTATCTTCTCGATTCAACTTGACTATTTAACTTGTTTTTTATGTCACCAGGTAAGGCCCCACTGAGCTGTGTAGCTCTTTATCAGAAGCGACCTGGCCATCACAAATGATGATAGCCCAACGAAGTGGCTTGTCTTCGTGTGGACATTACGCTACACGTACGTTGATTTTTCTCCGGAAGGGCCCGGAGAAAAATCCACACGAACACGGGGAGAGAGAGACACGTAAACTCCAAATATGCAGCAGCAGGCGTCAGGGTCGGGATCAAACCCACGACTTCCTGTATACCAGGCGAGGTAGTTAACATCTCCTCGCCACCATGATGATGAGAGAGAGAGAGACACGCAAACTCCAAATATGCAGCAGGCGTTATGGTCGGGATCAAACCCATGACCTCCTGTACACCAGGCGAGGTAGTCAACATCTCCTCGCCACCGTGATGATGATGAGAGAGAGAGACACGCAAACTCCAAATATGCAGCAGGCGTCATGGTCAGGATCGAACCCACGACCTCCTGCATACCAGGCGAGGTAGTTAACATCTCCTAGCCACCGTCACGGGAATCTTTCAACGCGCAAAGCTTGCCACGCGGCCAGCAGTATTACCGGTTCACTCGACCCGGCGGTATTAACCAGGGCCGGCGGTTGTGGAGTGTTAACCACGAGCCTCTTCTGTCCGCAATGAAATCCTCCCCAACTCCCAAGGGATCACCGTGCCTCCGGGGCAGGGGGCCGTGCCACTGTCTGTGAGTGTGCGTTGCTTCCTCTCACAGTGAACCGGTCTCTTTCCCCGGCACCACGCTCTCGTCCGACGCTAAAAGGAAAAGATCGCACGCCACGTCCCGTCGTAGCCTCTCGCCCCGCGGTGGCGCTCCCGTCGACGACGCCGCTGTACCGGCGGCACGCGGTTGATCACCGATTATCCGGCACCGGCGCTAATATTCGGCTGCTTCCAACTTTATCCGGCGGACCCGGGCCGATCCAGCGAAACCGGCGAAACCGCTCCAAATGCTGTAGCCCAGTCCGGCGATCGGTACCGCGTGCGTCACAGTAGCTATGCTTGATTTGTGTCAAATATAATATATATACAGTACGCTATATACAACGACTTAAACAATGAAATGACTGCACTGTATACATTTTTGACGACTAATAACTGCGGTAATAAAAACAGAACTTATGGCACAGTGGCGATCCGGCGAAAAGTTGCGTGTAAATTGGTGTTCGCCGGAGCCCCGGTGTAAGGGTTACGCGTTCATCGTTATAACGGTTGCACTTTCAACGTAATGATTGCGCGTTCTGCGTTATAATGATTGCGCCTTCTGCATTATAACGGTTGCACTTTCAACGTTATAACGGTTGCACTTTCAACGTTATAACGGTTGCACTTTCAACATTATAACGGTCGCACTTTCATCGGTGTAATGATTGCGCGTTCTGCGTTATAATGATTGCGCCTTCTGCATTATAACGGTTGCACTTTCAACGTTATAACGGTTGCACTTTCAACGTTATAACGGTTGCACTTTCAACGTTATAACAGTTGAGCGTTCTGCATTATAACGGTTGAGCGTTCTGCGTTATAACGGCTGCGTGTTCCGCGTTGTGCCAAAAGCATTCCCGAATGGAAAGAACGATGTTCTTGCGACGCATTGCCGCCGATTCATTTTTTATGGAACCGTATTTTGCCTCGTGGCCCGGCAGGTTTCCAGGGTCCTCCTCCTCCTAGCCAGCAGCAGTTTCAAGGCGTGATGAGCGTCCACCAACAGTCGGCGGGCGCCCAGCACGGCAACGACGGCGCCCAGCTGCAGGGCTTGCTGCTCCAGTACCCGGCAGCGGCGATGCCATCGTACCAGGTACTGACGCTCCAGATGTTACGGAGCCCGCCGTTCCCACGCGGGAGTTTCCGAAGGCAGCGGGGGAGCCCGAGGCACGTCAGGGTGAGGCGTCGTGCCGAGCGAAAGGGCGGCGCGAACGGGGAGCGCTCGCCGGAGAGCCGTGCAGCTCGGTCGCGGAAGGGAAAAAAAATAAACAAAAAACCTTTGGTGGCAGCGGTGTGAGAAATAAACTCTGGCACCGCGTTAACGGTCTGCCGTCATGCAGATATTCAATGAATATTAATGTCGATTTTAAGCGATGAATCCGAACGCGCGCCTCCTCTGGGTCGCGTCGGATTGACAGCCGCTGCAAAGAAGCTCTCTCTCTTGGGGGGGGCGGGTGAACCAGGAACGGGGGGGGGGGTACCCTGCTGGGCTGCCGGGGGCCGATGATGGACGCTGCTACTCACGCCGAACGCGGCGTCGCAGCCTCGCCGGCGCCTGACCTGGCCCCCCGTTCTCCGCTCCTGCCCCGTTCTGCTTTTCCTTTCGCCCAAGGTCCCTTACCAGCTTCAGGCCGCTTCGCACTCCCAGCACCACCACCAGCACCACCACCAGCAGCACCAGCAGCAGCACCAGCAGCAGCACCACATCCAGCAGCCGCCCGCCCCGCGCGGCCCGTCCAGAGACGGCGGGCCCCACCCCGGCTCCTCGGACGACGCGGGCCGCGCGATGCCGCTGTTCTGCAGCCTGGCGTCGGCGGCCGTGCCGGGACACGGCGGAGCCCGGGGCTCGGCGGGCCTCCAGCAGGCCTGCCCGGGGACCGCCGGCTCCGTCGGCGGCGGCGGCGGCGCGCCCCCGTCGTCGTACTCCGCGGGCGTCCCTCTGCCCGGCGGCTGCAGGGCCAACTACACGACGGCCGTGTGTGTGCCGTGGACTCAGCTCAGATACTGACACGCTCGGTGGGGACCTGAGGTTCGCTCCCCCCCCGCCTCACCGCCCCCAACACACCACCAGATTTTGATATGAACGTCACCTCTCCCGAATGTGTTCCCCCTTGAGTTTTCAGCACTCCCGCGGCGCGACCGCGGGCGCTCCTCCGTCACGTGCGGTGGAGTCAACAACAAAAAACGAACGAAAATGTTTACGGCGGCGGCGGTGACTCGCGGATGCTGTCGGTTCGAGCTGTCACGATCGGCCGGGTTGCGCTTCGCATACGTTTTTTTATTTCTCCTCCCCCCCCCTCCAGCCCCGAGCGACACCCTTCTGCGAGTCGCCGTTGACGCACAACCAATTTGCAAACCGGGGCCTGAGGTTGTTACGTATTTTATGTAGGATACGGGTTGCACGTTTCACGCGTGTCACACCACAACGTGTATCGGCGTCCGCAGCGACGTTCAAACCGGGAATACATTTAATTGTTTTTAAAAAATCTTTTCCCACCCCGCGATCGCGTTTTGGGGCCCGTGCTTTTACACCGGTGACGTCGATGCATTTTTTTTAAAGTGCTGCTCGACGGACGTGCAGAACGCGCTCATCCCCGCGCGGTGCAGTTGCTTCCCCTCTCGTTTTTCCCGCCGTGGCTTTTGCCGCCACTCCTCCCTCTCGGTGGGGCTCGGCGAGGGACCTCTGTGCCCCTGGGTCGCCCGGCGGTTGTCCCCTCGTAGACTGCATGCGCCTCAGCCACCCGCTCGGGTCTCTCCCCGGGGTTCTGTTTGCATGTCCGATGATGTTGCATGCCGACCACACGTCATTGGTGGTGGAGGGGGGGGCGGGCAGGGTCAGTGGTTGTAAATTATCGAGTACGTTCATTTAATTTCAGCTCCGTATAGATATTTTTTTTTTTACACACACACGTGAAAATTGCACTTTACGGAAGCTGGACTGTTTTCTGCGCGTTTTTGTTGTTGTCGTTGCGAAAATAGGGCCATATCGGTCGGTGACGGGCATTGGGCCTGCGGGTTTAGGCTTCGGACTTGAGCCATTTCTGCGTCCTGCCGTTCTCCGATTCAGCACCGGTTGGCTACGTACGGCGCAAAAGAAGTTTAGCGTACGCATGTGCGTCGGCAGCGCGCACACTCGAGGAGGGCAAGGGGGGTGAGGGTGGGAAGCTCTTGTTTCATCGCGCAAACTCCGCGCGCCCTCGCAGCAGCGGCTGGCGGCGAGGGATTCCGGCGAAGCGTCGAACAAAGACGGTTGTCACCAGCGTCACGCGGCACTTTCAGGCGCTGCTTCTCCGGGCCGTCTGGAACGCCGCTCTTCCGTCCGATATTAGGAAGCCACTGGTGAGCTATGCACTTTTAAAATCTTAAGTTGACAACTCATTTCTTTAGAACTGCTTTTTGTCGTGTTTAGTTTGTTGTGCTTCCCCCGTACCTCCGATTAGCGCTGTTGGCTACGTACGGCGTGAAAGAAGTTCAACGTACGAACATACATGAGCATGTATGTACGTACTCGCACGTGTGTTGGGGAGCGGTAGTACGTTGCGCTACGAACCTGGTGACCCGAGTTCGATTCCCGCTCGCGCCTTCCCCTCCTAGTTCGAAGCGGCCTCGGATGAGCACCTCGTGCGTCGTGTAAACATCGGCACTATCTGTCGGCAAAGGTGGCCACCCGCCCTCTTGGTGTGCCGTGCCGGCCTTTCATCGGTGCTGCTACTTCGCTGATGGCACTTGCACCGGCAGTCAAAGGCTCCACGCGGCGGGGGGGGATCTTTGTTTTGTGTTTGGGATGAATGGCACCTTCAAAGAGTTTGGAGAATTAAGTACAATTTCATGTATTTTTTCCCCAATTTGTATTTATTTAGAATCATTTACGCGCCGCATTTAATTTGCCATCTTGCCGGCGGTGACGAGCGCCCACTGACACCGCGTTTGGCAGGAGTCGGCACAAGTGACGACGTCACCTCCACGCGACGTTTTCACTTTCGGAGATCGTCCCAATGTTCACATCTGGGCCCCAATTTTGGATATCCTTTCGGGGATTCATGCAAACACCGCGAGCGTTTGCCCCCCCGCCCATCCCTCCCAGCTCGCTCATCGCGCGTCCGACGGCATCGTTTCCCGCGCCTCCCGGAGCGCGCTCCTCCCACGCAAATCGCCGCACCGGTTGCGCGCTAGGTGCGCGTGCCGGAGCGTTGGAACAAAAAAAAAACGCGACTTCGCTCGGGGTAGGCCGCAAAAAACCCTCGGCGTGGAGAATTAACGCCGCTCGAGCGTAACGTGGGCACAGCGCGCAGACGCGTACGAGTCCGTTTTAAAAAGAGTGTGTTTCTCATTTTTAAACTGTGGGTTTTGTTGTTTATCGATAAGAGATGCGTATTTATTTATTTTAAAACGGGTTTAATTTTTTTGGTGCATTAGCTTGTTGTCATCCCCCCCCCGCCCGTACCTCCGATTAACACGGTTGGCTTTGTATGGTACGAAAGAAGTTCAACAAACATATGCACACAGACTCACACAGACTCACACAGAGACCCACAGACTTACACAGACTCACACAGACTCACACAGAGACCCACAGACTTACACAGACTCACACAGACTCACACAGAGACCCAGACTAACACAGAGACCCATAGACTCACACAGAGACCCATACTCACACAGACTCACACAGAGAGTCATAGACTCACACAGAGACCCATACTCACACAGACTCACACAGACTCACACAGAGACCCACATACTCACACAGAGACCCACATACTCACACAGAGACCCATAGACTCACACAGACTCACACAGACTCACACAGAGACCCATAGACACACACAGACTCACACAGACTCACACAGACTCACACAAACTCACACAGACTCACACAGAGACCCACATACTCACACAGACTCACACAGACTCACACAGACTTACACAGAGACCCACAGAGACCCACACAGACTCACACAGACACACAGACTCACACAGACTCACACAGAGACCCACATACTCACAGAGAGACCCATAGGCTCACACAGAGGACCATAGACTCACACAGATACCCATAGACACACACAGAGACCCATACTCACACAGAGACCCACAGACTCACACAGAAACCCATAGCCTCACACAGAGACCCATAGCCTCACACAGATACCCATAGACACACAGAGACCCATACTCACACAGAGACCCATAGACTCACATAGAAACCCGCAGACTCACACAGAGACCCACAGACTCACAGAGAGAACCACAGACTCACACGGAGACCCACAGACTCGCACAGATAACCATAGACTCATAAGATAACAATAGACTCACACAGAGACCCATAGACTCACACAGAAACCCGCAGACTCAAACAGAGACCCATAGACTCACACAGAGACCCATAGACTCACACAGAGACCCACGGAACGAACGGCGGTGGTAGGCATGGCTCGTTAACGGCGGTTAATGAGCGGTAGCCGTGTATTGCGAATATGAAGATGGAGTGGAAACGGTGGCGGGTTATGAAGCGGAGATTAAAACTAAAACAACGGTTTTAGTTCACCCGGCGTAAGGCTGCTCTATAGCTCTTTTGTCAGAATCGGCCCGGCTGTCACAAACGATAGTGCAACGAAGTGGCTTATCGTCGTCATCGTCACGTGCAAATTTATGGCAGTTGCCAAATACTCTTGAACGTGTGATGTTGGCTCTAAATGTGGAGGGTAAAAACCGGAGGACCCAGGGAAGAATAAATCCACGGGGAGAGAGATACACGCCAACTCCACGTACAGCAGGCGTCAGGATCGGGATCAAACCCACGACCTCCCGCGTACCAGGCGAGGCAGTTGACATCACGCCACCGCGGCGCCCCGAGCTCGGCACTCCTAGCGGTCGCGGTAGATGCTCCTGAAAAAAGTTTGGCATTAAATCGACGACAATTTCCCCAACCCCAAAAAAACAATGCGACGATAAAGCTTGAATTTCGATTTAAAGCTTTCGTGACTGCAGGGATTCATCTTCTTGATTCTTTCGGTAAAGTCACGTCGAAGGGAAGTAATAAAATAATAAAAATAAAACATAATAAAATAATTCTCACGACGTTTCGGCCACAACGCAAGCAGCCGTCCTCAGGTGAAGAATTATTTTATTATGTTTTATTTTTATTATTTTATTACTTCCCTTCTACGTGACTTTACCGAAAGAATCAAGAAGATAAAGCTTGAGCGGGATACGATGCTCTACGCACACACGTTCGCGCTGAGACGGCGGCACGTACAACCGAGGGTGCGTGCCGAGTGGCGGTCCCACACGCCGGTGGACTTTGCCCGTTTGTAGGAAGCCGTAAAACGTCGGGGTTCAGACGGCGGGGTTTATTTAATTGACTCGTCCCTCCGCGGCCGTCTGACGTCGCGTAGGCTGCGGACGATCGATCGCACCCTCCGATTAGCAACGCTTTGGCTACGCACGGCGCGAAAGATGTTCACCGTACAATACGCGTGTGGAGGGTGGAAGCATGTTCCTTTCTCGCTCCGAGACGTCTGCACGTTGGCAGGGCGGTGGGTGTCCCGGTCATCGCCGGATCTCGGAACGCGCGAGCGGTCCAGCGTTAATTTTATTTAGAGAGGCGTAGCGCCGTTGTACTCGCCGCAAAGACGGCGATGATGCACTCCTGGCCACTAACAAGCAGTGGCGTAGCATTGTCGGCGTGGGCCTTCATCCTCACTCGCCTGCAAGGGCAAGCGGTGCTGTGTGCAGCGCACGCCACTGAGGTGCAGCTGCCACAAGGGGAACCCCCACTTCCCCACGCACACACGCACACTCGCACGTACACACGCACGCACTTACACACACACGTACACACACACGCACATACGCACGCACGTACACACGTACACACACACGCACTTACACACACACGTACACATGTACACACGTACACACACACACAAAGACAAAGATCCCCCGTATAGCCTGAACAGACTGTAGGGGCAAGTGCTGTTAGCGAGCACCTATGAAGGCCGGAACGGTACACGAGGGGGTTGGTGGCCAGCACCACGCCCGACCGCCTTTGTCTCCCTAGTGGCGATGTTTACACACCGCACCAGGTACTCATTTAAGGCTGAGTCGACCTAGGGGAGGCCCAGGACCGGTTCAGATAATCGTCACTGGTGTTAGCCGTGAGCGGGAATCGAACCCGGGTCGCCAGGTTCATAGCGCAGCGCGCTAACCGCTACACCACCGCTCCCCACACACGTACGCACACACACACACGTACATACACACACACGTACATACACACACACATGTACGCACACACACACACGTACATACACACACACATGTACGCACACACACACACGTACATACACACACACACGTACATACACACACACGCACACATACATGCACGCACGTACACACACACACGTACACACACACGCAACTCGACACGGCCACCAGCCCACACACGCACACACACACTCACGCACACACACACACACACATGTACACACACACGCACGTACACACACGTACACACACATGTACACACACGCACGTACACACACACACACATGTACACTCACGCACACACACACACACATGTACACACACACGCACATACACACACGTACACACACATGTACACACACGCACGTACACACACACGTACACACACACGCACGCATCTCGACACGGCCACCAGCTCACACTCGTGGGCATTGCAGCTGATGGGCATTACAGCGTCTGCTTCGGGACAGGGGAGAGACTACGACTCCATTCTGACACTCAGGGTTCCGGACAACATGCAGGAAAAAAAACTAAAAACTTTAAGCCATAAAGTCTTGAGAAGCGCTGTTTTCCCCGATGGGACCGGCGTCCGTGTGCGTGCGGTACTGGGCGCGGTGTGCGTGCGGTAGGAGCACAGTAGGGGCACAGGTGGTGCATCGGCCAGTCATCTCAGTCATCTCAAGTCAGTCGACCCGTGGTCACCTGATGGGTCTGTCCCGTGACCTTCCTGCCAGCGGGCGTTCGACACTTTCACGCGGCCTCAACGTGCACATGGCCTGGCACAAGAGCCGTGGTCACGTCACTGCCACTTAGTGGCGAATAGCGGTTGTTGGTGTGTGCGCTACTGCACGTGGTGTGTGGTTACGGATCGGCGATGGTCACAGCCGCAACGTCCCCGCTCCGCCGGCATTAGCTCCGTGGGATTTGCCGGTGAAACTTGATACGACGGAACGGACAGAAACCGCTGCCCTTCGTCTGCGTTCAGTGGCGAACGCGACCGGTGAGCGCGCGTCTCTTTGGCACCGTGCGGAGCCGAGGGGTGTGACGGCACGCCGAGCGAACACCGGGGACCCCTTGCTGTTCCGTGAGGTCGGAGGTCAACGCGAGGTCGGAGGTCAGCGCGAGGTCGGCGGCAGGTCGTCGAAGCCGCATGCCGAGTCTTGACGGGTTCTAGATTTGAAGCTTTCGTGACTGCAAGGATTCATAGTCTTAGGTTTTTCGGTAAAGTCACGTAGGTGAAAAATAAAATTGAAAGTTAAAAATTATTTTATTTTATTTCCATTATTACTTTTATTAACTTTTAATTTTATTTTTTACCTACGTGACTTTACCGAAAAAACCTAAGAGTATGAATCCTTGCAGTCACGAAAGCTTCTAATCTACACTGATAAAATTAACACTACAAGCCGTTTGCTGATTCAGCTGCACGTTGAATAGACAAGTTTTAAATACTCTTAGGTTTTTTCGGTAAAGTCACGTAGGTAAAAAATAAAATTTTAAGTTAATAAAAGTAATAATGGAAATAAAATAAAATAATTTTAGCTGTGACGGTCCCACCTGATGACGGAGACTTGTGTTGCCTCCGAAACGTCGTGATTTATTATTTTACTTTATTTACATTATTACTTTCATTAACTTTTAATTTTATTTTTTACCTACGTGACTTTACCGAAAAAACCTACGACCATGAGTCTTCACGGGGTCGGTGCGTTACGGTGGATCTCGAGGTGACCAATGAGGTTCGAATCGGTCCGTAATGATGTGGGGGGCCACTGACAAGTGGTTGACGGGTTATGCGGTTGCAGAGGGTAAGAGAGCAGAGCATTGAGGGCTGGTTGGCGTGGTACCTCGTGAACGCGATGACTGCCCCCCCCCCACCTTAATGTCACGCTCGTAGTCACCTCGGCCGTTCATGTTTGCTGCTGGCACGCTTTACTTTCTTGGGGGGCTGCAGGTGTGGATGTGGTGTGGGGTGGTGTGTGGGTCTGTGCTCGGCAACTGTGTTCTGTGTTTAAATAAAATGAAAGAATGAAGACAACAACAAATTCACGTTGCGAACGAACCGCCGGTGTCGTTACTCCCGGCGAGTCGCCGGTAAACGAAACAAAAAAGTCGCTGCACGCGCGTTGTTGTTGTTGGTGAACGGAGGCACTGCACGTGTTGTTTATCGATGATCGACAGGGGTACAGCGTGTGCGTTGTTCCACACGATTCGCACCCCCCCCCCCACCCCCGCCGCGAAAATCTCGCAATCGACGGCGTCTCTCCGTTTTCACGACGTTTCGGCGGCACATTTTTGTCGTGAATTTTTTGCTTTTCTACGAAAATCATTGGGACTCCGTGCTGGGGGGGTGGGGGGGTTCCAATATTTTTTGTGGTCCTTCCGAGCTAAAATAAGTGGCGGTTTTGTCGCGTACAATGAGTGGGTTGTGGCAACGTTCTAAAAGAATAGTTTAATTTCAAAAATATATATCCATCGATCAAAATAATCCCCCACGCCCTCAAAATAAAAACCAAAACCCTTCTGTTCAACAGGTGAAACGAGCCAAGCTATCGACTCGTTTGTTAGTGGCGACCTGTCCCACGCGTGATGATAGCCACGTGATTATGATGATGATAGCCATCATCATCATCATCACGTGGGGAAGTTTCTTTTTTTAGTAGCAGCCAAAATAATCAAAAACGCGAGTTGATTCGAAATTTGAAGGAGGAGGCATGAGAGAGGAGAGAGGAGGGAGGAGGAGGTCAAAACCGGAGGAAGCTGGAGAACTATCCACACGACCACCACGGGAGAGAGAGAGAACACGTGCAGAACGAGAGAGAGCGAGTGAGAGAGCGAGCGAGCGAGAGAGCGAGCGAGAGAGCGAGAGGTGGGGGTTTACATAAAGCAAAGTTTAAATAAACAAATTTTTTACGAAATGATGAACGAAGCAAAGTGCTGACTACACCGAGCATCTTCTTGTTTCCACTGATCGTAAAAAAAAAAGAGAGAGAACACGTGGACTCCAAATATACAGCAACAGACATCGCCAGCGCGTGGGATCGAACCCACGAGCTCTCCTGCATAGCAGGACGTGTATACGTGTGTCTGTTTGCTGGAAATTTTGACGATCCGTCGGTTAAAAGTCGAATCTTATGACGTGCACGGATTGAATCACACGCGTGCCAATTGTTTGTCTTTTAGGGAAGCGTTTCTTCACCAATTTTCAGAAGTGGGGGGGGGGGGGGGTGCCACTTGCACCGCGATGAGACCTCAATAAGTGGCGAGTGAGGAGGGCCCCCCGCCACGCATTATTTTTAAGGCCACCAGGGGCCCGTCAGTGGCCCCACGGGGGCCTTGCGATGACCAACACGAGGCCCACGCTGACACCCAAATCCGGAGTTGTCGTTGACGAGGCAAAGGGGCAGCCCTGCGGTTACCCGCGCACGACACCGCTGGCTGAAGGGCCACAGCGTTTTCAACAATTGTTGGGGTTTGACAGCAGAACGACGATGATGATGATGGGGTGGTGGGGTGTTGTCACCAGAGGTCGCAACCAGGTACCCGATACCCGTACCCTACCCGATACCCGGCTACCCGTACCCGACCGGGTACGGGTACGGGTAGCCGTTTGCAACCCTGGTGCGGCCGGGTACGGGTAGGCCGTGAGTCACTGGTGAGTAACCGTTTGTCACTCATTTCGGGTAGGGTACGGGTAGGGAACGGCTACCCGTACCCATTTGCGACCCTGGTGCGGCCGGGTACGGGTACGGGTAAGGAATAAAAACCCGTTTGCGACCTGTGGTTGTCACTGTGTTGACGGAGGGGGCCCGCACGTCAGGCCGCGCTAAAGGCCACCAGGGGCCCACCAGTGGCCCCCGCGGGGCCTTACACTCTCTGGGGCCTTGCGATAACAACCACCGATGTATGAAGACGACGTTCTTAACGCGACCTGTTAAAGGCTCATGGAGTGAACTCAACCGTGTAGAAGTGTCCACGATACAGGATTTTTTGGGTCAGATCGCGTAAAAATATAAATGTGTCGTTAAACCCGCCACCACCCGACACAGCCTAACTAGTTAGGGGTTGTCACGTAAACACAACGTGGCCAATTCGTTTCTCAGATTATAAATGTTGTGGATTTGCACTTCAACACACCGGTGTGATGTACTTACTAGTAACGAATTGGCCACGTTCTGTTTACGTGACAAACTTTACCAGTTGGCTGTGTCGGGTGGTGGTGGGTTTAACGACACATTTTTACGCGCTATATCCCAATAAAACCTCCGTTATGGGTAATATTTGGTCGCGAAAGCCTCTTGCGTGTTTGACGTGTATAATAAAAAAAAACAGAACACGAACGCAAGGGGGAGAGACGATACAAACGAGAGACAGACTGTCGATCTACAACTCCCAATAGCGTCTCAGAATCGGTGGGGAATTTCGCTGAACCGGCCTGGGGATAAGCTGGGCCGGGCCGGGCTGGTGAAGTGAATCGTTGTGCGGCGATTTTATCGACGCGTTTTTTTTCCCGGTGAATTTTGGAGTCGAACAATTTATATATTTTTTTTCGGGAGGCGTAACGTAAAATATTGAGTGGGACCTACTTGCCAGTGTCAAAAGTGTGAAAACTAAGGATAGGTTTTACCCTTGCTATTCTTTGAGTCTTTCGGTAAAGTCACGTAGATAGGTTCAAAGAAAATAAAAAATGATTTAAAAAAAAACTACGACGTTTCGATCGCAACACAAGCGTTCGAAACGTCGTCGGGTTTTTTTGGTCTTTTCTTTTAACCTGTCTACGTGACTTTGCCGAAAGACCCAAAGAGTATGAATTCCTGCAGTCACGAAAGCTTTAAGTCAACATTTACCCTTTGCTGGCAAAAAAATGGGAGGTGTTAAGATGGCCAAACACCACGATGGGTACACTTTTGCAAAGATTCAAGTAGTGCATGGACCGAACGGTGCTTGTGGTGAGCATGAAAACAAACGTGATCTGATAATTATTAATATGTGCATTCTTTGAAACTGTCAACATGCAAACAAAGAAACATCTGATAACAGACGCGTTGCCTTTGAAACTAAAGAAGGTTGTCTCTGGTGTAGGTCAAACAGTTTCAAAGACAGAAAAAGGGTAAAAAAAACCAACCCTATACTCTTTGGTTCTTTCGGTGGTAGACAAAAAATATGTCACGACTATCGTCATCAGGTGGGACAACCACAGCAAGAAAAAACTGAAGTAGTACCGATGACGGCTGCCTGTGTTGCGATCGAAACGTCGTGATCTATTAATTTTCTACCTACGTGACTTTACCGAAAGAACCAAAGGGTATGGATTCGTGCAGTCACGAAAGCTTGAAATAAAAAACAACCTATTCATATTTTTCAGAACGAAATATTGAAGCGTACTATATACATATTTATTTTTTGTTCGCACAGTTTGGAGAGAAAAACTACTAAAAGTTCCTTTTGGAAACCCAGCGAGAGCTGTGAAAGTCTCAAGTGGTGTTGTCACAGCTGTAACCAACACGAGCAGCATTTCGGGTCGTGCCGGCGAAGTGAAAAATCCATGGGCCAGAGTCGAATCAGAATCTTCATACTGGAGGAGGAATCCGATAAGCTATGAAGCTCTTTGTTGTACAAGATATCCAGCGTGGGGCATGGGATCAGAAAGATACAACAAACACGATGATAGGGGTGCAATGTATAGGAAAAGTAAGCAAATAAAAAAAATGTAAACTAAACTTTAAAAAATATTATTTCCAGGTAAAGCCAACTGCAGCTTTTTTTTCAGAAACGCTAACCTGGCCACAGTTGATAGCTCAACGCAAGTGGCCGATCTTGCCTCCGGCACCGAAGCCAGATTTGTTCGGTAAAGTCACGTAGAAGGGAAGTAATAAAATAATAAAAATAAAACATACTAAAACAATTCTCACGACGTTTCGGCCACAACGCAAGCAGCCGTCCTCAGGTGAAAACCAGGTTTCCGTCGAGGCGACAGCGGCTGCTTGCGTTGTGGCCGAAACGTCGTGAGAATTGTTTTATTATGTTTTTTTATTATTTTATTACTTCCCTTCTACGTGACTTTACCAAAAGAACCAAGAAGATGAATCCCTGCAGTCACGAAAGCTTTAAATCGAAACCTTTCAGATTGTTCGGATTCACCAGAGCGCCTCCTCCGGATGTCTGACCCCCCCCCCCCCCCCTCAATACGTCTCGGCACTTGCGACACATTTG